GGTTGGAACTAGGTGATCTTAAGGTCCTTTCCAACCCAAACCAGTCTATGGCTCTATGAATCCCCTCCCGGACCTTCTGCTCACGCTCTGGGGTGCAGCCCAGGTCTCGTTCTTGTTCCATTCATTCAATGCAGCATTTGAGGTCTCATCTCTTTTGACCCATGTGTAAAATACAAGTTGGTGCATAATGAAGCCATAAATACCACAAACACCTGTGCCTGGTGTTGGACCACGTTAGCTAAACCAGCACAACTTCATAGTTCCATTATTTAACATCTCTTCTGGCTTGCTGAACCCGTGTAAGCAGTGAAGCAGTTGATATGGCTTTTCTTCACCCCTGCCTGTTTCCCTCAGGTTAGCCCAAACGCTTTTATTACCCTGGAGGGAAAAAACACACCTTTGGAGATAAGGTCTGAGACAAGCCTTAAGCATTCAGAAGTAACTGAAGTTGGCTGCAGGCACGTTGCACATTGCTGCTCCCTTGGGACTGGCTCCGTGGCAGTTCAGCTTGATAAAATCCACCAAGAACTGGGAGCTGCTCAAGGACACAATGAAAACACGCTGAGGGAAACTGGTGGAGGGTTTCCAGCACGAGCAGTTCAGAAGCAGGAGGAGGAATGCAGCCTGGCCTCCCCAGCATCGCCACCGCTCGGGATTTGTGTTGCACATGTGGGGATATTTGGGATATTTTCCTTCAAAAACAAGCTTAGCTCATGCAGGCGTGTGAGGGCGAGGGAATAGCAGCTCTCTAAAACAAAGCCTTTTCATCTATATGGTTCATATTTGATTACAAGAGGGCTTTTTGCCCCTTTTAAAGCACATATTAAAGAAATACTCTGATTTGTTTGGCTCTGGCATTGGCAGCATTCCCTCTCCATAGTTCCTTGAGCAGGAAGCTCCAGAGTTTGCATTCCCACTGGTGAGGAGGGACTCAGGAACTCTAAAAGCAAGCCTGTGGGAAGCAGGAGGTGAAAACAGGGTTTAGTCAGTCTCTAAAGGGCATGTTTAGGCACCAGGGCTGTGACTGTCCCAGGGAGGAGGCAAATCATGGAATCAACTGGGTTGGAAAAGACCTTTAAGGGCTGTCAGTGTGGCCATGAACCAGAGGATGCCCATGGGGCAGCCACCAGCCATTGGGCATTTGATTTACTTGTCTCACTATCAACCCTTCCTTTTGGGCCAGAATAAAACACTTCCTAAATAAAACATGTGGCGGAGCTGCTGGTTTAAATCCATTAATTTATCAACCTGGGAAAAGGAAATACCACTGGAGTTTCCTCCTTGCTTGTGCTCGTAGTACATCGACATGATGCACCCTGTCTGGAGAACTGACGTGGGCTGAGTCAGGGCAGTTGTTCAGTGCTTGGTTGTCTGTGGAGCCAGGCTGAGAGAGCTGGGCTGGGGCAGCTGGAGAAGAGAAGGCTCCTCAAGGGGACACCTTAGAGCAGCTCCAGGGCCTAAAGGGGCTCCAGGAAACCTGGAGAGGGGCTTTGGACAAGGGATGGAGGGACAGGACAAGGAGAATGGCTTGAACCTGCCAGAGGGGAGATTGAGATGAGCTCTGAGGCAGAAGCTCTTCCCTGGGAGGGTGCTGAGGCGCTGGCACAGGGTGCCCAGAGAAGCTGTGGCTGCCCCATCCCTGGCAGTGTTCAAGGCCAGGTTGGACACAGGGGCTTGGAGCAACCTGCTCTAGTGGAAGGTGTCCCTGCCTGGGACAGGGGTTGGAGCTGGAGGAGCTTTAAGGTCCCTTCAGCCCAAACCAGGCTGGGATTCTGGGATTCTGTTTCAGTTGTTCCCTTTTCCATCCAGGTTCCTCTGACTGCAGTGTGACTTGCCCAGACTTGTACTGCACAGCAGCTCAGAGGCTGACATAAAGAACGGAGTCATTTAGGGAGTAACAGACTCCAGGGACGGAGGTTAAACTATAACCCTGTGCCAGGATGCTTTTGCTTACTGAATTCCCGAGGGGAAAGGGAGGAAGCGGGAGCAGGATGGGGAATTCCTGCCGGATGGAGCAGCCTATTGCCTTCGTATCGCTGACCTCGGGAGCGCATTGAAAGCGGAATAAAAGCTGTGCTTGCTCTGGGACAGCACCCAAATGGCTGTGAAAGTGGAGGAGCGAAAACACTGTGTCCCTGCCCATAGCAGGGGGTTGGAACTGGATAACCTTAAGGTCCTTTCCAACCCAAACCATTCTATGATTGTATGTAAATGTGTTCATTTAAATAAGAGAAGAACATGGGTGTGAATTCGGGGTGTTGTGCTGCTGCTGGGTTCCCTGAAGGAGATGCTTAAAGCCTGGTTTTATTTCTAGGCCTTGGATTTCCTGTGACTTCTTAGGGCTGTTACTTAACCTCTGTGTTTGCACCCTCCTGATACTCCCCTGGTTGCTTGGCAAGACCTCTTGAGAGTCCCAAAAGACAGTGGAAAATGGTGTTAGTTTGCCATCCTCCTCCTGATGTTCCTGTACTTAAACAGAGCTCTGATAGCATGGTCATAATACATAGATACATGGTTGTGCAGGCCATGGAGAACTTACCCTTTTGGGAGTCACGGACACCCCCAGTCACTGTGCACTAAAAAGTGTTTCCTTTTTGTCTCCCTTTCTCTTTCCAGACTTTATATTCAGAGCACCCATTAAATTAAGCAAACCAGGGGAACTCCGAGAAGAATACGAAAGCCAGCTAAGGAAGGTACAGTATTCTGTGTAATTGTGGGGTTTCTTCCAGAATAACTTGGGATTTCCTGCAGAAATGCCATCCTACCTGTAAGGAAACTTAAGGGGCTTTTTAAGGACCCACAGGGATGCCATAGAGGGACTCTTCATCAAGGACTGGATTCAAACTGAAACAGGGGAGGTGTAAGTAGGATATAAGAAAGAAATTCTTCCCTGTGAGGGTGCTGAGGCGCTGGCACAGGGTGCCCAGAGAAGCTGTGGCTGCCCCATCCCTGGCAGTGTTCAAGGCCAGGTTGGACACAGGGGCTTGGAGCAACCTGCTTTCAGGGAAGGTGTCCCTGCCTGTGGCAGGGGGTTGGAACTGGGTGAGCTTAAGTTCCTTTCCAACCCAAACTGTTCTGTGATACTGTTCCTGCTCTGTACAAAGGTCATTTATTCCCCTTATGCTGTTCAGCCAGTTCAGGAACATACTGGCAGTTATCCAGCATGGAGAAGCCAGATTTGCTGTCTTAGGCTACCTTCCAAAACATGGAAATGTCCCTTCCGTGGTGGACCTCAAGAGACTCTTTGGTTGTTCAGGGTTTATAGAGCATCTGTGTTTGTGGATCCAATTCCATAAAGGCTTTTCAAGCATGAGGCGTCTCCTGCAGTAACATCCTTCTCAGAAACTAGCTATGCCAAACTAGAGCTTTCTGTCTGCAAGAAAAGAAATGGCATTTCAGGACAGAAAACTGGGAAGGGAGGAAAAGGTTTTCAGCTGCTTTGGAGTTAAAGTCTGGGAAAATATTTTCTACATGTAGAAAGGGATTTTTATTATTCTTTTTCAAGTCTAAAACATTGAACCATCTCCAGTGACTTGTCATTTATGGAAGCTGGCTGCTTTTAAGTGAGAAACATCACTGTGAAAGCAATTTCTGCTGCAGCTGAGCAGATAATGCTTTCCAATGCACCCCCTCGCTGTGAGAGTCACCTATACCTCCCTGCAACATTCCCATTTCCACTTGTAGCTCCTGCTTCTGTCACCCCCTCCTCTGCCAGGACCTGTGCAGTGTCCTGCCAAAACAACGTGGACTCTGCCCCGATGCCAGTGTCTCTGTCAATAGATTTAGTCACTGTGTCAGGTCCTCGATCTCTGTCAGGGTTTTGCTGTGAGATGGGTTCAGCCACTCACTAATTATTTTATCTGTTGGGGAAAAGGGAGTTTTTTCATCATCAAAGAGTTTTCTTTGGGGTTTCACTTGAAGATCTCAACAAGCATGGAAAGGGCTGGGAAGCTGAGGTTGAATTAGAAAACAGCCTTGTCCAGTGAGGATGAAAATGCTGCTTAGATGGTATTTAATGTAAATAACTAGTCTAGGAAATGCAGATTTGGGAGAGGGGCTCTTCATCAGTGACTGCAGGAATAGGACAAAGAGTGATGGGTTCAAACTGAAACAGGGGAGATTTAGGCTGGATATAAGTGTCACTGATTTCACACAAGGAGAAGCAGGAGTGAAGACTCCTCCATGTTTTCTAATTGTCTTCCCACATATATAGAATGGAATCCCAGCCTGGTTTGGGATGAAGGGACCTTAAAGCTGATCCAGTTCCAACCCCTGCCCCGGGCGGGGACACCTTCCACTAGAGCAGGTTGCTCCAAGCCCCTGTGTCCAACCTGGCCTTGAACACTGCCAGGGATGGGGCAGCCACAGCTTCTCTGGGCACCCTGTGCCAGCGCCTCAGCACCCTCCCAGGGAAGAGCTTCTGCCTCAGAGCTCATCTCAGTCTCCCCTCTGGCAGGTTCAAGCCATTCCCCTTGGCCTGTCCCTACATCCCTTGTCCAAAGCCCCTCTCCAGGTCTCCTGGAGCCCCTTTAGGCCCTGGAGCTGCTCTAAGGTGTCCCCTTGAGGAGCCTTCTCTTCTCCAGCTGCCCCAGCCCAGCTCTCTCAGCCTGGCTCCAGAGCAGAGCTGCTCCAGCCCTCGCAGCAGCTCCGGGGCCTCCTCTGGCCTCACTCCAGCAGCTCCACATCCCTCTTGTGCTGTTCCCCAGAGCTGGATCAGGGCTGCAGGGGGGTAATTCAGTATTTTCTTTTATTGTAACCTTTAGGATGAGTGTACTCAGGGCACCTTTGGCTGAAAGAAAAAATTAAGCTTTTTATACAGGTGTTAACTGTAAACTTTGTTGGGGTTTTATAAATCCCTCCATAAGAGCGAGTGGGAGATGTTCCATGATGATACTGGAGCTCGCTTATCATTGATCCTGCCAGACTTTTTGCTTGATGTCTTCAATCGTATTGCAAGGCCAGAATTTCCTGGGTGTCCAGAGGAACCAGAACCTCCTGAGTCCATTGGGGCAGGATGTTACCTCTGCAGCTCTTCCAGGTGCCTCCAGACTGACACATACCTCCATCTTCCAGAAGGATTAACCCATCTTCTCTCCTTTGGTCCATAAAACTTTTACAGGAGCACTGCATCCATGCGGGACAAAGTGGGTGCTTTGTCACCTCTTGTGAATCCTGATCACTTTATTACTGACTTTAAATATTACCTGTAAAGCTCCATGAGCACATGCAAAGCATGATGAGGCTCCAGCTGAAGAGGCTTTTGCAGCCACCAATTGACTTCAGCTAAAAGCTACCACATGCCAACACCTCTCACTTCCCACCAGGCAAAAGGAAACACTTTTAACATGTTTCTGGCATCTTGTGCCTGGTTTTGTCTCATTCCTGTTCATCCTGATGCCTTCCCCTCCTTTCTCCTGAGCCTTATCTGAAGGAGCTCTGAATCATCACCTAAGAGGAAAGGGCAATGTAATTTTACTGACAAAATGGCAACTTTTTCCTTATTGCAGGTGGAATTGTGCTTGATGCCACTTAGTGAGAGTTTCCTGGTGTCTCTGAACTCCTGAATTAGGAAGGAGGAGACAAGGAATCAGGTTTGGGGACCAAAGGTTGTGTATAACAAGGCTTCCCCCTGTGTGTCAAGGCAGGAGGTTTCATCTCAGCTTCCCTGCCTGTTCCCCAGGGATAACCCATGCTGGCTCTCCTCCTGAGGAAGGCAGAGGAGCTTTTACATCTCCCAGATGTGAGTTGCTTTATAAAGCCTCACTCTTGACCTGTTTCCCAGCCTTTTGCAGGTGAAAACAAAGCAGTTACCATAATGATGCACTGGAGATTTTCTTATTTGAAGTGGATCATCTCCTGGTGTGATTTTCTTTCAGCATGGCATGAGTTATTTGCTGTCTGTGCAGGACAGTGAGATTTTCTGTTCCCCTCTTCTATACATCACACGTGGTGCCCTTATATTTCATATTTTCCCAAGGGAGGATATTATCTCTGTGTCCTAAAAGCCCAAACTCACCCTGTTAAACTGTCTTTCTATCACAAGGAGTCTATTTATTGCCTGTTATCACACGCAATCAGGAGGGAAGCTCCTACTGAGGCATGTGCTGACATGCAGCTTCCAGCAGCATGGGTAGACGGAGCAGGCTGAGGGAGTGAGCAGGCAAACCCGGACAGTTCATGGAGCAGAGAGAAGATACCAAACGTGAGTTTGCCAAACTTCTGGAAATCAATGTTAGGGTCAAGAGGGATGTTCCCTGAAATGGGCGTTTCTTGAGCAATACCCAAGGGAAAAAGGATTGATTGCTGGTACAGCTTTTATCCTGCAGCTTCAGCTTCCTTTTAAGATGTTTACAAACAGCTTAAAATGCATTTTCTGATCACTGTATACTGCTAAGAGCAGCTGAGAGTCCTGCATCCAGTATTCCAGAGATGATCCTTGGGTAACTTCTCCCAGGGTAGATACTTCCCAGCAGCTTGTTCCAGTTTCTAGTCCCCATGTCCCATTGCCACGTTTGTAAGTAAATTCTCTGAGAGATAATTTACATGGAGCTGCTTAAAATGACTTTGTTTTAATAAGTACAAATTTTATCCTTAGATTTTGCCTTTGCAGCCTGAATTCTGCACCTAAATTCCTTTGTTGTATCCCATTAATTAGGCTTGAGATCCTGGTGTTGCTTTGTTCACTGTTGGTGCAGTGCTCGACCCTCACATGAGCTGTGACATTGCCTCAAACCCTGTAATATTCCTGTATGTTGTTACATACACTTGTGGCTTTAGATTTGGGAATTGAGTATAGTTGTAGAAGTTAGATAAAGAGCAAAGATTTCCGTATAGTTTTCTTCCAGGTGAGAAATACGGAAGGGACACAAGTGCTGGGTGGTATTTCAGCTCGTTGTGATAAATCTTGATGTGAACTTGCTTTTCAGCCTTAAAAAAGGCTCCTTAAAGAACTTGGCTTTCAGATACTTAAAAAAGGCTCCTTAAGGTGCAGAAATACTGTTCATGAGGCATATAGCAGAGTATTCATCATATACGCATCATGTGGCTGTAATCCGTATTAGTCAGACACTGGGTTGTAGTTATTGCTAGAGCTTGTTAATAGATCAGGAATTTAAAGATATATCTTAAACCAGCTGGAAAGAAGAAGTCAAACCAGTCTTTGGAAACATCTTCAAACACCCATAATCCGCCAAAGAGTGGGTTTGTTCCTGGTTTCTACCTTCTGTCCTTCTACCTCTCTCTTCCTTATCTCTGGGGGTTCAGATTCAGTAGGATTTGGGGCCTCCCCAGTCTGAAGATCACAATGTGCTTTTCATGTAATGCATCATGAACTCTTTGTCATCTTCGTGCCCATACTTTGGGTTTTTCCCCTTTCCTCATCAGGGTATTGAAATGCTGGATATTTCTGGGAGAATGAGGATTTGCAGGATCAGTGTGGATGCCTGTGGATGCCTTGAGCTTTACTGGAGACCACCAGGTCCTGCAGCACTGCTCTCCTGAGAGGCAGGAGGGAAGTTGTGGTGGTGTGAGAAGATAGGAGGGAACATAACAGAGCAACTGCTTAAGCATCTGAGGTGCCCACACTCAAATGTGAGGAATAAAGAGAAGCATTTGAATCCCTTGTGCTTACCCATCACTGTGATTCATCAGCATGATGGAGACCAGTCAGTCAGAGGTCAGGCTTGTTGTCTCACACTTACACACCACATTGGGTGGAGGAAGGAGGAAGCACCTGGTGTAGATACACATCTATATGTAGACTATTCATGGCCTCTGTGAGTGTGATGTTGAGGAAGAGGTGGGAGACAGGCTGGGTGAATGGCTGAGTAATGAGTGAGGAGGGAGCTGGGTGATGTTGTCCAGGGATGATGGGCTGGTGCTGTCTGAAGGACATACCACAGAGCCTGTTCATCAGGAAAAGGTGGTGGGAAGGAGGAGAAAGGGTTGTTGGTTTTGAGTAGCAAGTCCTGGCAGAAATGGGGAGGTTGATTCCTTAGGTAAAGGAGGAGCAGAATAATGCGGCAGGACAGGCAGCCCACTGGGGTCACGGATCATGCTGGGGATAATCCTTTGGGTCAGGAAGAAAGAAATCTCTGCATAGAGAGCCTGGCCAGGAGGAGCTTGTGGACACAGAAGTTGACCTTGGTTGGATAAAAGGGGTCACTGAGTGATGGATTGTGCTTTCCAGAGGGAAGGAATCAAAGTGGTTGCACTTCTCTGAAATCCACTTTTCTTCTTACAGGGACTTTTCTAATCCACTTTTCTTATTCCAGGGGGTTGGAATTAGGTCATTTTATGGTCCTTTCCAACCCAAACCATTCTATGATTCTATGATTAATGGTCTTCTACAAGCTCCAAGATGGGTGGGGACCAGGGAAGATAAATGAGGGTATGGGGACCAGCAGTTAATGGAAGAACACTCTTCAAAAGGCACAGCAAAAGAGCCTTCAGTGCAGGAGGAGGATGGGAAGTGCAGCAAGATACAGCTTGAGGCAGCTCGGTAGGATTTCATGTGCAGCCTTCAGGGTTGTGACGTGCAGCACAGGGTGCCCAGAGAAGCTGTGGCTGCCCCATCCCTGGCAGTGTTCAAGGCCAGGTTGGACACAGGGGCTTGGAGCAACCTGCTCCAGTGGAAGGTGTCCCTGCCCGGGGCAGGGGTTGGAGCTGCAGGAGCTTTAAGGTCCCTTCCAACACAAACCAGGCTGGGATTCTATGAATTGCTGCATCTGTCCCATTTTAATGTAACTGATGCTGTCTGTATCTCTTCCAAATTGTCCTGTGTCTCAGGCCATTTGAAGACTAAAATTGAACTGTCATAACTTGCATGAAACTACTGTTGTGCACATTCTTATTTGTAGTCTTCTTATCTACAAGTAGACTAAAGCTTTGGTCTCTCTAGTTCAGAAAATACCATGGGAGAGCAGTCTGGGTCAAACCCTGGACCTCACAGGCCTTTGCTGTTTTGCAAAGCAGATAATATTTGTGTAGAGCGCATGAACCTGTTGTAGGAAGAAACTCATCTTCACACTGTGAGAATTCACATTCTCATCTTGTGAGAGAGGCAGAGGCTCTACTCTAGAGAAATAAAGACACAAAACCAAATGGTGTGACCAGGCTCTTGGAAAATCACTTATTGGCAACCAGGTATAAAACTTCAAACCTTTAAAATACACCATCTCTTTTGTCATTCTTGCCAGCTGAGAGAAGAAAAACTACAAGAGGAGAAAGCTTCTGAGGACCTGATTCACAAGTTCGTTCTGGACGACGGGGATGTAGGAAAAAGGAAAATGGAAGAACAGCAGAAAAAAGAGGACTCTTTAGTTCTTAAAGTGAACCAAGAGTGTGTAAGTAAGCTTGGGCTTCTCTTTCTACTCACATTGTAGACACTGGCTGGTAGGTGAAATGCTCCAAGTCTCAGTCCTGGAACAAGAGCGAGTTTTTTTAAGACCTGGAGTAACTGACTGTCTCCTGTTCCTGCCCCTTGAAACTGGGAGATTCCATCCTTTGACACAAGGAGCTCTCCAGGATTATTTGACTCCTTTATATCCCCTGAAGACTTTGAGCTAACAGATTATTGACCCATGTGAGTACTAACAAACCTGTCTTCCCACGTTTGTTAGTACTACAGATGTTCTTCTGGAGGTTTCTTGCCCCCTTTTACCCACTGTACCCATGACTGGAGGTACAGCTCTTCCAAACACAGCAGAGAAACGTGTCAAGGAAACCACTCTGCATTGTGCAGCCTCGGTCTTCAGGCATGTATGCATTTCCACAAACATTCCTCCATGACTCTTCTACATGCAGGTGTACAGTACTGTGGTCCAGCAGATTCTTCATGCTGAATTTTGCCTATTTCCCATCTCAGTTGTGAGACTTAATAGGAAATGCTGTTAACACTTAAAGGTTCATGGGATGAGGTGTGGGTACTGAATAACGTCCCATGGTACCTTTGTTGTAGGATTGTCTCATGTTTCCATGATCAGTAAATAACTTCCTTCAGTGGGAGCTGTACATAGGTGCTGTGTGCTGATTTTTGCATTATTTATGCTTTGGGGGGCACCCTTTGTGCTGTTACAGCTCCAGTGAAGAGAGCAGCACAGACACATACATGTACGTGCTGACACGCTGCACTCTCAGTTCACCTCCTCTCGGTGTAATGAGGTTTTGGAATCTTGGATATCTCTGCAAGCAAGAGCTTTGTTTTCCAAGAGATTCTTTCTGTTGCACTTGTCAGTTAACTCTCCCTTGGTTGCCTCCAGTTCCCTGAACGTCTCTCGGATTCGGAGAATGAAGAACCATTCCAGGGCAGGCAAACACATCGATCAGCTTTCGTTTCCAAGACCAGTGCCTACTCCTTTGCTTTCCTTTCAGGGTAAGAGGCTGAGACTTGATTCAAGTTGATTAATGATGAATTACAAGTGTTTTGTGACTATTGTTCTAAACATACCTGAGCTGTTTTAAATTAATTAAAATGGGTGTTCCAATCCAAAATAAGTAACGTTGTCGCTGGAATTTTAGAACAGGCTAATTGGTAGAATGTGGAGTTTGTCTGATTGCCTCCTACCTACTACAAAATCCTGGGGGTTAAAGAAGTTAGTGTTCATCCCATGGAGGAGAAAAATCATTGCATGTAGATTTAGATGACAGAAATCATGGAATCATGGAATGGCTTGGGTTGGAAGGGACCTTAAAGCTCCTCCAGCTCCAACCCCTGCCCTGGGCAGGGACACCTTCCACTAGAGCAGGTTGCTCCAAGCCCCTGTGTCCAACCTGGCCTTGAACACTGCCAGGGATGGGGCAGCCACAGCTTCTCTGGGCACCCTGGGCCAGCACCTCAGCACCCTCACAGGGAAGAGCTTCTGCCTCAGAGCTCATCTCAGTCTCCCCTGTGTCATCATTAAACTAATTAAATTAAAAAGATCTTTAGATTTTAAATCATTACATTAAAAAATTGTTGAAGTTCTGTGTGCTGAACTCTGGGTCCTTCTCCAGCGCAGATGTTAAGAGGTAACAGCAGCCCCAAACCCCTTAGCAGTGAACGCCGCTGCATGGTGCAGTGGAAGCAGCTGAGTAACTCTGTGTTTCCACATGAGAAGCACAGGGGTTTCCATAGCATCCTCATTAGCTCCGACCTCAATTAGCTACAAGTAGGTGGAGGTGTCAGCGTGTTTAGCGAGGAGCCCTTCAACACAGCCGAGGATTCTGAGGCTGATCCAAGATTCCTGCATCCCTTTTCCCTGAGGGCGTAGGAGGCATCTCTGGCTGCCAAGGCTGATGCCTCCCCCACAGGCAGCTCTGCCAGGGCTGGTTCTTCCTCAGGTCATGAACAATCTCCTGTTTTCCCCCATCTGCTTTTCAGGAACCTAACCGCCAAGGTGGAAAGGAGCCGGAGCTGCAACGACACCATTCAGGAGAGATCAAAGAGCAGGCAGAGATCAGCCCCAGCCAACAAAACAAAGGTAGGGACTGCGCCTGCAAGCAAAGGCTTTGTGAAGTGTCAATGTTCTTATCTGAGCTTACACAGCACCAGGAAGCTGGAGATAAGAAACGTGGTGTTGGTGGCGCTGCGGGTGCTGTGTTATCGCCGTGGGGCCAATCGCTTCCTTGCAGCTCCCAATAAAACCCTGCTAGGTTAGAAATAACAAAGCAGGAAAGTAGCTTATGGAGCTGTTTGTCAGCACTGGAGGATAACTGGAAGTTGGAAGGGTCCTCCTGGTGCTCGCTTGTCATTCAGTTTCTTTTCACGGCTGAATCCTGGCTGATTAGAGAGAAATCTTTTAGGAGTTTAGGAGTAAAATCCCCTTTTCCTCCCCCTTCCTCTCCTGTTCTTTCCAAAGCTGTTTAAACTGCTTTGTTTAAACATTTAAGCTTTCGGTCTCCCATCCCTGGCAGTGTTCAAGGCCAGGTTGGACACGGGGGCTTGGATCAACCTGCTCTAGTGGAATATGTCCCTGCCCTGGGCAGGGGTTGGAGCTGGAGGAGCTTTAAGGTCCCTTCCAACCCAAACCAGTCTGGGACTGTATGAAACAGAGTAAAACTCTTTGCTTTTCTAGTGTTAGAATACTTTCTCCTGCACTTCCACACTATGGGAAGAGCTGGCCTGGTCTTGCTTCCCCTTGCATCCAGCAGCCCAAATGAATTAACCCTGTGTTACCCTGTGCAGGGCTGGCTCTGCAGTGCACCTCAGTGCTTCACAGTGATCACAGAGCACCGCTGCGGATCGGAACTGGAGGGTTTTGGGGCTCTTCCAGCAGTAGTCACTGGGTGCCTTCCACTCCTTGGAGATGACCTCCAGCCCTCGCAGCAGCTCCGGGGCCTCCTCTGGCCTTGCTCTAACAGCTCCACATCCTCCTTATGCTGGGGACACCAGAACTGCACCCAGGGTTCATGCTCTGGGGGTGCACCCAGCACACAGGGGGTTCTGGGCTCAAGCACACGCTGAAGCTGGGTCATGGGGAGCTTCTCCTCACCCAACACCCCAAGTCCTTCTCCTCAGGCTGCTCTGAATCACTTTCCTGCCCAACCTGTAGCTGTGCCTGGGATTGCCCTGACCCAGGTGTAGGACCTTGCACTTGGCCTTGTGCAAGTTTCTCCTTGGGGCTGGCGTTGGCCACCTCTCAGGTGTATCAGCCACTCCCCCCCAGTGTCCATATTCACCTCAATGACAAACGTTTGAGCTGTGGTGCTTTGCTTTGCAGGTGCCACCCGTCACCAGCACGTCCACACCACTGGTTGGGGTTTTGTCATCCACCCAGAACAACCGCTGCCTCTCAGCCCCAGACCTGACAGCAGAGAAGCGCCTGGTTCTCAACCCTGTTTCATCCCTCTCAGCCCTGCACAAGCCAGAGAGATCCATCAGCCCCGAGAGCAACGACAGCATCTCAGAGGAACTCAACCACTTCAAGCCCATCGTCTGCTCTCCGTGTACTCCACCAAAGAGGCTTCCTGACGGCCGGGTCCTGAGCCCCCTCATCATCAAATCCACCCCGAGAAACCTCAACAGGAGCCTGCAGAAGCCAACGACCTACGAGGCCAGTCCAAGAATCCTGAAGAAGTGGGAGCAGATCTTTCAGGAGCGCCAGATCAAAAAGACTCTCTGCAAAGCGACCCTCACGTCCTTGGCTTCAGAGCCTGGGGAAGATGTTGCAGCTCCTGACATCACCCACTCCAGCAGTTGCACTAAAGAGCAGCCACAAGCACGGGATGATCATCTTCCACCCGACCCCACAGGAGACCCTCGCCCCGAACTGGATTTCTTCCCTTCCATCAGTGAAACGAAGCTGGGAAAAGGGAATGAGAAGAACAGAGATTCCCAGGCCTTAACCACAGACGAGAGCACCACTGATCCAGATGTGAGATCAAACATCGCCTCCCTCAACCCACGAGTGTCCGAAGTCCCTGACCTTAAAGTGAACACCTTCATGGACAAATCCTGTCTCGGCCTCGGCTCAAAAGTGCTGAGCAGAAGACTCCTGGGTGTGAGCACATCGCTTCCCGACAGCACCGCACTGAAAGCACCGGGGAAGAAGCAGCTGAAATACCTGAACAACAGCGAGTTGATCAATGTCCAGAACAGCACCTGCAGCTCGGTGGAGAACATCATCGCGGAGCAGCCGCCGGTGCTGAGACGGGGCCGCAAGAGACGCTGCAAAACAAAGCACTTGGAGCACAACGGCTCCGTCAAGAGACTGAGGCACCCGGCGGGAGAGGTGGGGCTGGTGCCCGAGGTGCGGGACGTGGAGCAGAAGCTCCAGCAAGAGGAGGAGGACAGGAGGTTGGCCCTGCACCTCCAGAGGATTTTCGACAGCGAGAACAGGACAGTGGAGAGGCGGAAAGTCAGAGTGGAGCGGTACCTGCTGCGCTCCAAGAGCACGCTGGGTGCCAAGTAGCACTGGTGGACGCTGTTGCCTTGCTAGAGGACGATGAGGTTTATCAGATTATCCTATAGGAAACCTATTTTTGGTCATACGTCCACCCACACAGTTGGTTTTCTCATTTTCGGTGGTAAGATGTTTGTAGGTCCAGTTCAGATCGAAGCCAGAGTCCTTTCAGCTGAACAAAACGAAGAGGGGTTGAGGGAAAAGTTCCTCAAGTTTTCCTGGTTCATTGGTCTGAGAGATGTGTGCATTGTCCCCATGAATACCCTGCAACACCTCTGCATGCAGTTGGTGACGTTTGGGTTCCCCACAGGAGGGTTGTGTGAGCAGCATGGGATGAGGAGCTCATCCATTCCCTGCCTTGCTGCTTCAACAGGCCAAGGGAAATCAGGGCTCTGCTCACAGAATGTAGGTTTTTCCCATCCTAGAAGTAGTCTTCTCCTCTGCCTGTCCCACTCTCTTCCTTATGTTGTGGTGGTCAGACTGCTACTGATGTCAGTGTGTTTGATGACCCACTTGAGGGTTGTTAGGGAGGGAAGTTGATCTGTATTTCTGCTAGGAAGTACCAGATAGATCCACCTGTAGTACTTACAAGTGAACGTATCTCACTGTCTGCACCAGCAGCACAACTCCCAGGTTACTTCCTTTAAGTACAAAGTAGTAAAGAAAGATTTAAAATAAGGATTTTACTGAAAAGCCTTAGAGGTTGCCCAGAGAAGCTGTGGCTGCCCCAGCCCTGGCAGTGTTCAAGGGCAGGTTGGACACAGGGGCTTGGAGCAACCTGCTCTAGTGGAAGGTGTCCCTGCCCATGGCAGAGGTTGGAACTGGAGGAGCTTTAAGGTCCCTTCAGCCCAAACCCATCTGGGATTCTCTGAACTTGCACATTCATGTTGGTGACACAGCAGAGAGCTCGGGTAGAGCAGTTGGGACCATGCTCTGGGTGCTGTGAGCCAGGGAGCAAATGCAGCTTTTCTCCCATCCCCACCTCTTCCAAGGCGAGAGGATTTCCAGCTCTTCCCACTTTGTTACCTGGAGAGGGAAGCTCTGGCCGGGTGATTCCAGGCAGGATCCCTCCCTGCTGACACGTACCTTGCTCAGTTAAGAGATCCCTCAGCACACCTCAGACCTGGCCTTACACGTCCAAGAGCAGCCCCAGGAGGCATCCCGAGGTCTGTGACGCATCACCCTCCTCTGCCAGCACCGGGCGAGCTGGGATGGGAGGGTTGGGATGGGAGCCCAGCCCTCCCAGTCCTCAGGCACATGGATGTGGGTGCTCAGGGTGATGTGAGCCTGCCCTGCCCCTGCTCCCAGCTACCTGTCTTCTGGTTCAAACCACTAAGAGAGCTCAGGTGAGCAATGCACTAAAGATTTCCACTTCAAGGCATGAAGCTGGGCAGCCTGGACCGGAGCTAGCTCAGAGCTTGGGCTTGATGGAGCTTCTGGTGGCCCGTCCTTGGGTTCTTCATATTTCCATCACTCTTCCCCATCATCCCTTATAATTCCACTGATTATTTCCTAATCAGTGGAAATTGTTTGATCATTAGGCTCAACAACCATCAGCTTAACTCGATACTTGAAGGCCACCTTGCAGAGTATTCACTGGGGACCCTCAGTGCCCACAGGGACCTTGTCCAGGGCAGAGGCTGTGGCATTCACCATCTTGCTGACCCATGGGCTGGATGACAAGGGGTGTTCTGGGGATGGAACTGAAAGCAAAGTGTTGGAGCAAACTCACCATGATCCCGTGGTGTGATGGGACAAGAGCCAAGTGTGTTCCAGCAGATGGATCTGATCCAAGAGAACGGTCATTGCCCAGTTTCCTTTAGCTAAAAATAATGGTTTAATATCTCCTTCCACCTAAAATGGTTAAAGAGAGCAAACAGGAACTGGTTGGCACTGGCACAGGCTGCCCAAGTGAGTGCCCCATCCCTGGCAGTGTTCAAGGCCAGGTTGGACACAGGGGCTTGGAGCAACCTGCTTTAGTGGAAGGTGTCCCTGCCTGGGGCAGGGGTTGGAGCTGGAGGAGCTTTAAGGTCCTTTCCAACCCAACCCAACCCATTCCATGATTTCCTCTCCTGTGAGGACCCTGGCGCCTTTTTCTCCCCAAATTGAACTGGATTCCTTTTTTATTTTAAAAAAAGAAATCTTATATTTTAATGGATAAAATTTATATATTTTAAATACTATATTTCAACAGATTGACACTTTGGTTTTGAGAAATCTTATAGCAATGATTCCATAATATATATCTCTCTCTATATCTATCTCTGTATCTCCTTAACACACCAACTACTGGATGGCTTAAGTCATCCCTAGGGCTGGTTAGGCCTGGCTTGGCTAGGCCTGGCCTGCTGCAGCTCATGGGTGATGGCTTTCCCTGCCCGCTAACACACCACAACCTCCAGGCGGTAAGCTTCTGCAGGCTGTGTGCTAAAATGTTTGCGTGCATCTTTAAACTGAAATCTTTAAATATTGGCTTTAACCTGCCAGAGGGGAGATTGAGATGAGCTCTTAGGCAGTTTTTCTTCCCTGTGAGGGTGCTGAGGTGCTGGCACAGGGTGCCCAGAGAAGCTGTGGCTGCCCCATCCCTGATTCAAGGCCATTGGATGTGGTTCTGGGCAACCTGGTTGAGTTGAAGATGTCCCTGCTCAATGGAGCAGGATGGACTAGATGAGCTTTGAAGGTCCTTTCCAACCCAAACCATTCCATGATTCTAAGCAGCATTGGCCTGGACCTGCCCTTTACAGTGAAATAAGCTCAGGAGGAAATCCCACAGCCATTACTCAGAATTCATGCTGGGTTTTCCCAACATTTTGAGCTAAATCCTGCACTTCCCAAGTGCATTTTGAGCTGTAATTACTTTTACAGGCCCCTTCCCATGGTTAATCCCTTGAGCCTCAACCAGACTTCCCTAAACAGCTTCCCCCTTCCTCACAGTGCTTGAGGGCTTCATCCAGGCTTGGGCTGCTCTGAGCAAGCCCACACCACAAAACCCAGCTTTCCACATGGAACGTGTCCTTTCTTGCCCCTCTTCACATGGATTTCACAGTCCAATTGTCTTAAATCCCTTCTTCAGATTACATCAATATTATGGGGGTTTGGGTGTTGAGTCCCTCTTTCTAAATCCAAGCTGGGTGGAAGCAGAGGAGGTGATGCCTGAGCTGGAGCCAGGAAAGCTTCATGGGACCCCTCGTGCCTCTGGTTTAACCTCACCTTAGTGGGCTCCAAACCAAGAGAGTGCTCCTTGGCTCCCCAGGCATCATACATGGTCCGTTGCACCCACGCTGAAGAAGACCTTTGGACATGGCATCAACAATCATCATGGAAGCTTTCAGGAAAGCATCAGAGCAGGATTCACCTTTTCTCATGAGGTTTTTAGTCTGAGGAAGCTGCTGGCTGTGTTTCCTACGTGCACTTCTCCATCTGGTTGCTGAAGGACTGCGGAGAACATGGGCTGTTTCCATAAGGATCACCTAAACCCTCTCCCCTTCTTCCTGAGTTATCAGGAGCACGACTACTCTCGTCTGAAATCCACCCAAAGCAGTGTTGGGATCAAGACCTGAGGTGGTGTGAGGTTGGGATGAATGTGTTACTAACTCAACACTGTTTAAGCTTGCACAAAATGAAGTTCATTGCATGTAATTACACTTCGAAGAGCAGGAATTCCTTCTTCTCCCTTTAGAGGACAGGTATGACACTGCCTGTGCCACAGGTAACGCCAGCGGAGAAGGAAAACACCTCTTCCTGACTGGTGGATGCAGCACAAGGTCTGCAGAGACCCCAAGATGAAGCTACGTGTGTTCAAGGCCAGGTTGGACACAGGGGCTTGGAGCAACCTGCTCTAGTGGAAGGTGTCCCTGCCCGGGGCAGGGGTTGGGGCTGGAGGAGCTTTGAGGTCTCTTCAACCCAAACCATTCTATGATGCTATTAAAGTCATTTCTAACCCTTCTCCTTTCTGCAGCCACCTTCCCACCGGGATGAGGGCAGTGGGACAGGGTGAGCATCCTCCCAGGGTGTGAAGCTCTCTTCTCTTGTGGGAAATAAGAAGCAGGTCAAGAGCTTGCCCTGCTGGAATCACTGGAGGGGCTGGGGTTGGTTTGGCAACAGGAGGACCGTGTCTGCCAAAGATGCCACCAACTCTGGAAGGTTTCTTTTGGACCCTGTGGAGCTCTTTACCTGGGAAAAGCCATAGGGAAAGGTCTGTGTTTGGAGTCAGTGAGATGAGAGAAATGAAGGAAAAGTGCCAAAATGAGGGGATTGTACCAGCTGATTGTATCATGTTGTTCTCTAGTGTCAGTATTTACTCCAGATGCTGTTGTACGTGCAGTAGTCACGACGTGGAGCTTGAACAAGTGCTTCTTTTCTGTGTTCTCAATGAAAGCAAAGGGTTGAAGCCTTAAAGACTATCACTGATATAAACCCAAGCCTTTAGCAATGCTCTGCCTGAACCCTCCGACAGCCCCCTGCTGTATCCCAGTTATCCAGTGAAAGGTTCACAAGGAGCTTGTCCTGGAAGTGTTGCATGAAAACCTGGTCCCTCTCAACCCACTGAGGGGCTAAAGATGACAACAAACCACTGTTGGATGCTTGGTCTTGTGTGGCACCATGACGGTGACCTGTGGGATGTCCCCATGGGTGGAACTGGGACCTGCCACCGGTGTGAAGTCCACCACAGAAGCTGGGATGATCCCAACGTGTCGCATCCAACACAAACCTTCCCTGGGTCTAAACCACCACAAAGCATCAGCTCTGGAATTTGCTCTTCACTATGCAACAGGAAAGCCTTCAGCTGGTGGCACGGGGGGGTGTTCGCCTGGTTTCCTTGGTATTTGCTATCAAACTGCTCAAATCTGGATGTTTCTACTCCTTTTTCCCCCCAGTACTGCTTTAAATCATTGTGCTTTCGTGTTCTCCTCAGCACCAGGGTGGGACAAGACTTTCAGTGGTCATTTTGGGTCTCAGCTTCATCTGAATGTTTTCCAGAGGGAAGTTCTGAAGGACTCTTGACTTGCATGTGTTAAATGTGTGGGTGACAATGACATGCAGGCGTCTGTCATGTTGTGGCTTCTGTTGTTTGGAACAGAGTAAATCCTGCTTGTGGAAAACAAAGCTTGTCACAAACCAGAACTGTGCCAACTGTGTACAAATAACGTGTGCATCTTAACAGCAACGAGGACTTTGAACTGCAGGACAAAGGCCGAGGTTAAAACAGAATAAAACCAGGTTCTGACAGTGCTTCTGACCTGTGTCTGATGAACTTCTTGCTCTTGGGAACAAGCAGGACCCTGCTGCTGCCTGTCCCCAAGGGGTGACGGTTGCCTCTGGCTGAATGAGGTTGTTGAGGAGGGAACAAGGTGAAGGGGAGTAGAATGATGTGGTTTTCATGTAAGTGAGCAGCCAGGGGGGAGTGAGCATCCTCCATTGTGTGTCCCAGCCCCTCTGGTTGCTCTGGTGCTGCTGCTTGTGGGGTGTGACACTGGGGGATGGATTTGGGGTGTTAAGAAGGGGGCTGTGCCCAGCTGAGCTCCCTGGGTGCGCTGTTGGGCATGTACCTGCGGTGGGACTGGGGCTCCATGCTCTGAGATGCCACCAGCAGCACTGATGGCACTTTCCCAGTGCAAAATGGGTTTTCCCCAAGGGGCAGATGGATGCTGGGACAGTGGGAGAGAGCTGAGAGAGTTGAGCTGGTATTAGCTCCATCCCTGGCAGTGGTGGTGCTGTTGGCCCCCACCACGAGCTGTGCTCATCATGGACCATCACTGCTGGCCAGAACTCCCTGGAACAGCCAGAGGGAGCAGCAGCTTTC